CTATGTTTGAGAAACTCACATAGCGGTACAATCGGCAGCGTATCAACAAGGACCCAAATGTCCATATTGTCTTCCTCGCTGTCAGGATCACCAAGATCCATGGTGATAATCATACCCTCATCAAAACCATACATTTTGCAAAGTGCTTCCCAATTTTGGCAACCAAAATGGGTTACGCTCTGAGCATTGTACAGATTTACTTCAAAATCCATATCATGATGGGTCCTTAGGTGTATTTTCTTTGTTTCGAAATTTTCATGGTCTTCAAAACCCATCCTCTCCAAGACATAGCGTCTTGCATGGCATGGGATAAGCTAGTCGAATTGTAAAATATGAAAATTAGACGTTGAAATAGTTGAAGTCATGCTTAATGGAGAAAAAACTAATGTCGTCGTTGCGTACCATATGAACATCGCAGGTCTCCTCGAGCTTAATGCTGAAGCGCCGATCGTCGTCCGGCCGAACGAACCTGTCGCACATACCTCGATCATCGTGGCACCAGCTACACTCCCCCGGGAGACCGTCGTCGTCCGAGTACGACATTTCCTACAATCATAATTCAAAGATTAAACTTGTACATATTTTAGCACAAGTCATGTCAGAATTCACGACAAAATCCGGAATGACCTTTGCTAAAAAAGGACATATCGAGCGCCTGAAATTTGCCGGAACGGAAATTAATCAACATTCCAACAAAACATAGACCACTCGGAGATGTAAACTGAACATGAACGGCCACTTGGGAAACCACATATCCTATTTGAGCAACAACACAAGATATACAAGGATATTTGGCTGGTCTCACCTCGATGTCGGAGGGGGTACGTCGGTGACTGGGATGACGGCGGGGATGTCGGAGGGGTTCGGTGACGGGGACGACGGAGGTCACCTGAAACCATATAAGTTATCACTAGCAACAAAACATGTTCAACTAGTTTTATTAATTCAACTAGTTCTTACTAAATATAAACTTACTATAAATAGAAAAAAAAACTAGTTCTTTCTAAATAAAGTAGTTCAACTAGTTATATTAATTATCTTACTAAAAATAGATTAGTTCTGTTAATTCAACTAGTTCAACTAGTTTATTAATTTACTTACTAAACTAGTTCAACTACAACTAAAGTAGTTCAACTACCACTACTACTACTAAAAATCTAGTACTAACTAAGCTAAATTAACATCTACTACTACTAAATTAACATCTAGTACTAGCTAACCCTAAATTAACATCTACTACTACTAAATCTAGTACTAACTAGTGGCAGGGGGTGGGGGGCGACGGAGAGGTAGCTAGGGGCGGCGAGGTCGAGGGCGGTGAGACGAGGGCTGCCGGCGGAGGAAGGAGGAGGGGCGGCCGCAGGCGGAGGGAGGAGGGCGGCGGCGGAGGAGTGAGGGGCGGCCGCAGGCGGAGGGGAGGATGTGCGAGGAGGATGGAGGAGGGACGGAAGGAGGGGAGTATACCTCGGCGGCGGAGGAACGAAGGCGGCGGCGGTGGCGGCGACGGACGACGACGGTTGACGCGGGCAAGAGTGAGAGTGTGAGTGAGAAGGGCCGGTCCTCCCGTGGGGATAAGGTAGGGATAGTTGTAGCGCGTTTGACAAAACGCGCTACAGCTAACCTAAGTAGCAGTAGCGCTCTACAGTATAGTGCGCTACTGCTATAGCTAGCGGGGGGCCAAGGTCATGGCAACTATAGCAGTAGCGCTGTAGGCTACAAACGCGCTACTGCTACTTCCAAGTCAGTAGCGCGTTTGGCAGACACGCGCTGCTGCTAAGTAGCAGCAGCGTGGTACTTTGAAGCGCGCTGCAGGTAAGATTCTGTGTATAGGCTTTTCCCTAGTAGTGTATGTTTATTATGTGGTAATGTGTTAGAGTTGATAATGATGATCTTGAGGAGGTGTTATGTGATGTCAATGATGAAAACGATGATATTGAGGAGGTGTTATATGACAATAATGTATTATGATGCTAAGTTGTTAATGATATGATGATGATGATGATATTATTATTATATCATTGGGTGAAAGAACCGCGGATTAGTTTCAAGTGGATGGACATCCACTTGAAACTAGTCCACGGTTCTTTCACCCCATGATGTAATAACTCATTATGATGTAAAAACAATCTCTAAATTCCTGTTGTATGAAAACTTGTGTAAAGGTGTATGAATACAACATGAAAAAGAAAAGAAATAAAATACTAAATAATAGTAGTAGCGCGGGTAAGGAGAAGCGCTACTACTAATTACCAGTAGCGATGTTCTAAAGAACCGCTGCTACTAAGTCAATTTAGCAGTAGCGTGGGTCAGGACGCGCTATTGCTAAGCATTAGCTGTAGCGCCTTATCAGTAGCGCTCCTGCCCGCGGTACTGATAGGCCCAAAACCCGCGCTGCTGCTAGGCTTTTCCCTAGTAGTGTAATGGAGAATGAGATGCATGGGCAGGAGGAATAGCAAAATTGCAACCGATCTAGGTTGAGGTTTAAGTGAATTATATCAAGAGAATGTCCGGTGTCTTGTCTCCGTGCACTATGTGTTGCGATCCATTGAACGGCCTCGATTGTATCACAATTTGGCCTCCTACTATGCCACGCGCCGAATCGCTAGGAAATGGCTTGCGGTCCAATGGAAAACCTCGGCTGTTTCAAAATCCTAGCTTCTTCCTACTGCGTCTGATGGCGAATCACTAGGAAATGGGCGTCATATGCTGATGTCTGACGGTTAGACACTTAGTTAGATGTCACTCCATAGGTGATCTCTAAGATTTAAGATGATATGAGCTCCTGCCCAATCACAAAGTAGGTCAATTTCTCTATATTTTCCCTTCTTATCCCACAAGGACGCATGAGGAGGCCACCAGCTGGAGTAAATAGCATAAAACTACTACTTTACAGGCTAGGGTTCCAAAAAATTACCGGTTTTTATTTTTTCTCAGATAACTACCAAACAGGCGGTCGGCTGTTTCAAAAAACCCTGATGACAGAGTGTTTTACAATTAATCGTGATTATGACAGTTGGGCCCCATGCGTTAGAGCTCTAATTATTTGACCATTAGTTTGACCGTTAACTGGCACGTGGGACCTACAAGTCAGTATATTTGTAAAAAGCAATCAGGTCCTTGCATCTTTTTCCAAAAAGCAATCGGGTCCCTGCTAAAGGTCACAGCAGCCACCGGCGCTGCTCCTCTCGGTGCCGCCTCGTCCAGCCGGCGAACCACGCCCGCAACCGCCGTGAGCTCACCGACGGGCGGCCTCTCTCTCTTTCTTCTTCCTTGCGCCGGCTCGAGGTGGGTCTAGGCGAGCAACGGGCTGGGGTCCAGGCGGTGCTCCTTGCAGGCCGCTGCCACTGCTCCTGGCCATGGCGCGCTGCCTCGCCTGTGCGGCCGTCGCCATGCCCTGCCATCGTCTATGCGGCCGCCGGCACGCCCAAGAAGAATGCAACGGCCGTCGTCGCCGAGAGGGCCAAGCACCTCACCTACGCCCGTCGTCGATGCCTTCGCCGTCCTCCTCGAGCTCCCCGCAGACGACCACGCGTACGGCCGCGCCGCTGCCGGAGCGCGCGCCTGCCGCCGCCGCGGCCGAGGACGGCCTTTGCTGCGGCCGCCGAAAGGTGAGGGTGGACCCGGTGGTGCGGGGCGAAGGTGAGGGGCAGAAGCGATGGGTGGCGGGGTGGACACGGTGGGTGGTCATTGCCGCGCCGGGGAGGGCTAGTGAACGGCGGCGGAGGACAGGGCAGGCTCGCCGGCGAGAGGAAAGTAAGGGAGGCACGGAGGAGGGAATACTCAGGGAGGAGGAGGAAAAAGTGTGGAAGATACACTGACATGTGGGCCCCACATGTCAGTTAACGGTCCAACAGACGGTCAAATAGACGGATCGTTTAGGTGTGGGCCCGACCTGTCATAAACATGTTTAAATTTTAAGCAACGGTCATTTGGAGTTTTCTGAAACAGTCGACCGCCCATTCGGTAGTTATCTGAGAAAAATTAAAAAGCGGTAGTTTTTTGAAACCTTAACCTGTAAAGTAGTAGTTTTATGCTATTTACTCCACCAGCTGGGAGCTGACTAGGTTAAGTTGTCGTCCTAGCTAGCCCGTTCTAACAGCACAGAGGCTATGCACCACGGCCGCCCGTCCTCACGGCGAATTTCTCGCTTGCCATCCAACACAGCATTCAGCTAGTAATCGTTCACCAAGACAAGGCAGGGAAATAAAATATCCATGCTTCCTTTTCTGCAACTGATGATTGGTTATAGAACCATCTCAATATTGGCTTCAGTTGATTGTCAGGGTTTGTTATACCTTTTGAGGTCGTCATGAGAAATTCACTATGTACCACCAGCTTAACACAAACAAAGAACGTCTCAACAGAACTTTGCTTCAACTAACGCCCACTGCTTTATACAAACCAGGCTCATACGTCGTTAACCCCAAACCAAACATTTACAGGCAATAGAGCAACAAGTAGCACCTAGAATATCTTTGGCTTTGCATAGCAGACCGTTCACCTACACTGAAGTCCGAATGAAGATACTACTTTACATATCGCAAGCATACAGAAATAGTGCACTAAAAGCAATCACCAAAATGAGCCAAACCTCTTGGGGCTTCAACCAGGGACCCAGAGAGCCAAGGAGGTTCTGTTGCAGTTGCCGGAGTTCCACTTGAAACTCGTCGAGTTCCAGTTGCCGGTTGAGTCCCACTTGATGCTCATCGTCACATTGGTCCTTCTCATGGCCTGCCTTCTCACCGCAATCACAGAATAGATTGGCACCGGAAAAGCCAGGCTCTATGTACTCGATTTTATGGCCTGGTCCCTCATGACGTTCAAATACTGGTTTCCGTCTCTTTTGGTGGCAGGCATCTGCAAGGGTCGTTGCTCCATCCACTGTTGTTCCTCCCGCCATCATTGATTGTGGCACAATTCGCAAGACGCTGAAAAATATGGAGAAGGGTAAAAATTATAGGTAATGATTCATTTTGACAATCAAAGTACATGATTTTTTTTTATTTTGTATAATACTTCTTTAAAGCTTTAAGGGTGGTATTGATTTTTCTCTTCATGGCTTTAGTAGAGGTTGATGCATCACTTCGCGGCTTGCACAGTAGCCAGTTGAAATCTTCCAAAGCTCTAGGAAAACAACACAGCGTAGTCACAAATAGAGCCAAGTCAATTCAACATAGAATTGCACAAGCATATATCCTCGTGTATATACCGTGAGCAAACATCCACAGCTTCGGTGGCAGCTTTAGCTTCGCCTTCACCAACAGAGGAAGCGTATTCTACCACCTGCATCAAGTTTTTTTTAGTGATTCAGGTAAGCCGATTGTTCATAATTCGGAACCGAGAAAACAAATTATGGGAAAATAGATGCTGTATCAACAGTTGTGTGCATTGTTTGAAGGGAATGGATTCAAAACTTGAGGAAGCAAAGATTGATGCTATTAAGGAAGAAACAACACAAGGCAAAGTTGAGGACAAAACAACATGATGCACTCATAACGTGAAACTCTGGACACTAGAACAGAACTTACTACTGGAATGATCAAACGTAGAGATGACGCTGGACAGACTAGTGAGCTACAATCGATGTAAATTGACGTTTCATGTTCCAAGCATTGACCTGCAATGGACCATAAAGATGTGAATCTAATAAGAAATATGTATCACACTGTGTCAACAAAAGCCTCTGGTTATCACAGTTAATTTGCAAGATCATAGACCGGCAGCAACAGATAATAACACTAACAAAACCCAGTGGATTGTAAATGCTTAACATGTCCACCACCAAAGTTACAGATCACAAAAACTTAAGGTGGAGACCGCACATAATTTTCAAAGATATTATACTTGACTTGAACAATTTTTTATGGTCATAAAACAGAGTAAACTGAGCAGATATTTGCGTATGATGTTCAGGAAATTAATTATACTTAAAGACGCTAAACATGCACTTGGTAAATGTTGGATGCATATGCGCACTTGCACATGTGCTATATTAACAGAAGTTAATAGAAAGCTATGCCCCAAGAAGTGGACTAATTCGTTACCAAGTTCCCTAAGCCAGTCTCGAGTCCACAGAAATTCCTCAATACATTTCTCCACATCCATCCTGACAATAAGCATCAAATAGCAGCAGAAGTAGAAATCAATAACTTGTCATGCAAATAAGAATAAGACTGGAACAGGTAAAGATAGCAAAATATGCATTACCATGTAAAGCCCTTGTACCCTTTGTTGGTTATATCTACGCCTGCAATAATTTGGATAAAGAAACAGTTAAGAACAAAATATCAGGAAGGAAACTGTATAATTTCTGAAAGGGTTCAATTTTCGATTCAATGGGGGAGGTCCCAGCCTGAATTCCGTGTTATTATTTCCTATCCAGATATAACTTCTCATGAGTGAATTCGAATTATCATATTACTTCTAATGAGTGAATTCAATGTGAATAACTTCTGATGAGTGAATTTAAATTATCACAAATGATTCCCTGTTATTGTTTTCCTTTCTTTTTTCTAAGAGACTCGTGCTGTTTTTTCTGTTTGGTTGAAGAAATAAAATGAGGTGGTTCACCATCACCTAAATTTTTATAATGAAGCAAAGTACTCACGATTCAGCTTTGGCTGTGCCTTCATGACGGTAAATTTTGTCTAACTACGAGAGTGATCGGCCTTTATAGATGAGTCCATACTCCATACTTGATTACTTGTACATTTTTTTAGCATGGGCGGTAGCCTAACGCATGCTTCTAATGCATCAACGTCTATGAATCAACACATATGTACCCTACCTAATGTTCAAAGTTGATGAACAACTAAATGGTGTCAGCATTTTCAATGTGAATACTGCCAAAATACATTGGGAGGATCTATCACCTGGGGTCATGTTGAGGTACTTGGGGAAGGAGCATGGACGGTACATTGGGAGGAGGTCGATGTCGCCAGCAGAAAACGGGGCTATTGCTTGCACAACCGCATGTTTCATGTCAACTGTGATGACCCAGGCCTTGTCGTCTTCATCATTCACCTTGGACATGACGTAAAGAAGATCATCATTGCAGATGCTGAGGGTGGGGGTGTAGAAAATCAGTTTCTTCAGGTGTAACTTTTCTGTCTCGTCGTCCCCCAGCTCCGGCAGTAAAGCAGAATAACTTTGGTCAAGGGAGATGTCGGCAACATCAACCGTGAATCCCCGGAGCCAATCTCCCGAAGAAAGATTCCTGTTCCATATGGTGGCTTTCCAACTTTTATCTCTGCCACAGCAGGGCTTGCAACTGGAAGGGTCATGGTATTCTACGTCGACAAACTTGATCAAATCATCACAGCAGGCCACATCACGAAAATATTGAGGAGCGTCAGATCCTCCTAGCTCGTCGTCGTCGTCTGATAGTTGGGAGCAAGGCGGCCTTGACACAGGAAACGGGATGTATTCGATCGTAGGATGTTCATCGAACGGTCTGCGAAGTAGAAGAATACCACGCAAGAGATCAACCCAGCCCAGTGAGCGTCCAATCCTGATCTGCCTGCAGGCATCATGCCGACTAAAATATCTCTCATTAGACTCTGATATAGCCATCAACCCAACCTTCTTACTCCATGCCTGTGTCTGGGACGAGAAGACATGGACATCAAACATATGATCACCCATGGTCCTGTTCCACCGTAGGAAGGCCACGACATAGTGCTCGCCCCAGGGCAAGAGGCCGAATTGCGGCCGGGCTTCGTATGCTGGAATATCGGGTTCCGGGAGCAGGTGCAGTGCTGGCTCCCCGGGGCCGGCTCTGTAGACGAAGTGGTGGGTGGACTCCGGGAAGGGGCCGTCAGGGGCGTTGAAGGTCACGTCGAAGAGAAGGAACGCTGCCTCCGCACAGACGACGTGGGCGCCGATGAAGCCGGGCTCGGGATCGTCGTGGGCGAAGTCGTCCGGGTCTGAAACTTTGAGGCCGGGGCAGTGGACGGAGAAGTAGGAGACGCCCGGCGGGTCGACGAGCCAGAAGGACGCCACGACGGGCTGGTCGTCCCTCGTCCTGGACACGACGGTGGTTGCGTTGTGGAGCTCGGAGATACGCGCCGACGGGTGGAGCAAGACCCAGTCGCGGCGTGGGGAGGCTGGGGCGGTGGCGTAGGGGTCCATCAGGCTGATGGGGTCGGTGGGGAGTGCCGCCATGGATGTGGATGTTGAGGTCGGGGTTTGGGGATTAGGTTTTGCAGGCGAAGGAGAGGGAGGCGTGATGGACTCGGGAGGAGGAGCAGAGGCGCGACGGCTCCCTATCCAACGATTACGTTCGCTACAAGAAGGGACACCAAGCGAACGTTGTGTCCAGACCCAGCCAGCGTAAACCCCATCCTGGGCCAGAAAAACAGCCCATATCTCTACACCAATTATGTCCCCTCTTTAGAAACGCATGCACATTTTAATCTACTGGTGGCATTGGTGGAGTGTGCGCAACAAGCTGAGGAAAGGGAAGCTAGTAGCACCGGCAGCAGAAATAGCCAGGCGAACTTGCAGTGCGGTCATGGAATATATGCAAGTCTATATCAACCCACCAAAGAAAGCCTGTCTGGACAAATGGGCTGCCCCGCCTGACGAGATGCTGAAAATCAACGCGGATGGATCATTTGCTCCGGGAGAAGGACATGCGGGGTGGGGCGTGGTGGCGACTGGCGAGGGACTCGGCAGGGACTATTGTGGCAGCCAGGGCTGGATGACAAGATCATATACATGATGCCTTTGCGGCGGAGGTAGCTGCCTTGTCAAATGCCGTGGCCCTTGCAGCCGACCTGGGATGCCTGAGAGTCAGCTTCGAGACGGACTCACAGTTGTTAGTTGAAGCTATGGACTTCAGGAAACCAGACTCGTCAGCATATGCGGCTGTCATTGAAGATACAAAGTTTCAATTGAAAATGTGGTTCTCTAAGCATAAAATTTCTGTTTGCCTCGTAGTGCTAATGCCGTAGCGCATGAGTTAGCCAATATCGGCCGCTTGTACCCAGTAGAACATGTTATGCACCGGGAGTTTGATGTACCAACCCATGTGGCTGCTTGTGCCTCGAGCGAAATGCCCGAGCATTGTTAAGTTATAAAGCTTTGCTTTGATCTAAAAAAAATATATGTCCCCTCTTTTATTTGAAAAAATGAGCCTATTTGTTTTCCTGCAAACAATTTTTTTGAAAAAGAAATAAAAACCGAAAAATACCACAAATTAAGTTGTCAGCTTTCTAATAACCATCACCAAAATCTTGTGTACAAAAAAGGGGAAATCGGGCAATCACAAAAAAAATGCCATCGTCTCAAATAATAAAAATGTCATCATCGCAATGACATAAAAATGCCATCCCTATTATATGAATATAAATGCCATGCTATTAGTAATAAAACTGCATGTCACTAAAAAATGCCATCATCTCAAAATTAAAAAATGTCACGCTCTTAGTAATTAAACTGACATGCCATTTAAATTCAAAAAAGGCCATCTTCTCAATAAATGAAATTGACATACTCTTAATAACAAAAAATACCGCCCTCTTAAAAATAAAAAATATCATGTTATTAATAATAAAAATGCCATGCTATAATAATAAAGCTGCCATCTGAGATAGTAAAAAAAAACATGCTCTTTTAAAATAAAAATGAAAATAGCATACTCTTTTAAAATAAAAATGCTGTGCTCTTAAAAATAAAAATGACATCCTCTTCTTAATCACAAAAATTGCCATCCACTTTAAAATAAAAAATGCCATGTTATTAATAAAGAAATGCCATGCTACAAATAATAAAGCTCCTGTGGTTAGTTCATAAATAGCACAATGTTTAAGCTCAGGGTTATCTCTTGTGGTTAGTTGATAACTCTGCCATAATCTAATGTACTTACAATACAGATATGGTTACGATAGTCAAACCAGTTCCGAATTTGAACACAGCTGCAAAATAGACCAGCTTATATACAGGAAAACTTAAGAAAGTAAATCACACACAGGAATACAATGTACACAGCAGGAAATGTGAAAGTGAAACTGAGAATCACCTGGATCTACTTTTTTTCATATTTACAAAGCTGCTCGAGCATATGCCAATTCGGCAATTCCTATTGTTTTGCAACATCCCTGTACTTCTTAATGCCTCTGATGATCTTAATAGACACCATTTCTTTCCGTTCCCTGTCCCAACATTCTGACACCTGACCAAAGGTACCTGATGTATTTATTTATATTTTTGCGGAAAAGTTACCTGATGTATTTGCAAACACATAATCAATTATGAACACATCCCACCGACGTCAACAATAGCAGTGTGCAAGAAACGCCTTGAGAATTTCAACATATCAACAGATGTAAAGGCTACTGTACAAACTGACGTTCACCCATTTTGCATTAATCCTATATGCAGACATAAGTACAATCCATAAGAACAAAAAAAAGAGGAAAGCACTACTCTGTTTAAACAAACCAAAATAGTGATAAGGTAATTACAGTGGTTACATACATGGAGATAAATAGCACGATGATCTTCAGAAAGATCAGTTTTCCTCTTAATACATACATGGAGATAAGGACATAATCCTCTTAATAACAAAAAAAAATGCCATCCTCTTAAAAAAAGTCATGTTATTAATAATAAAAATAACATGCTATAAATAATAAAGCTGCCATGTGAGAAAGTAAAAAGAGAAAAGTATACTTTTCGTCCTTCAACTCTTGGTGAAGTCTAGGTTTGGCCCCTCAACTCCGAAACCGGGCAACTTGCTCCCCCAACTACCAAAACCGGACAAGGTTCGTCCCTGGTCTCGATTTTGACCGATTTTGGTGCTAACTCACCCCGGTTTTGACCGGTGCTAACTCAAATTCGCGTAATTTTTTCATACTTGTGAACTTTTTGAAATTCACACTCTTTTTAAATCCACAGAGTTTTTTCAAGGTCGCAAATTTTTAAAAACATAAACATACTTTTTTTTCAAATCCGTGAACTATTTTAAATTTTGTGTACTTTTTTCAAATCCACATATGTTTTCTAATTTGCATAAAAAAGATCTAAATCCGCGTGCTTTTTTAAAATTCACATATGTTTTCTAATTTGCATAAAAAAGATCTAAATCCGCGTACTTTTTTCAAGTTGCATAAAATTTTCAAATTCATGAACTCTTTCCAAAGTAATGTACGCATATATGAAAAAGTAAGTCAGTTTTAAAAATTACATGAACTTTAAAAAAGTACATGGATTTGAAAAGAGTAGGTGAACTTGAAAAAAGTACTCGGATTTGAAAAGAGTACACAAATTTTTGAAAAGTTCACATATTTGAAAAAAAAAGTAACCGAATTTGGAAACATTGAGCGGATTTGGAAAAAGTACGTGAATTTCAGTTGGCATGGTCAAAACTGGGTTAGGACAGCACCCAAATTGGTCAAAACCGTGACTATGGATGAATCTTGTCCGGTTTCAATAGTTAAGGGTGCAAGTTATCCGGTTTTGAAGTTAAGGGACCAAATCTAGACTCTGCGAAGAATTGAGGGACGAAAAGTATACTTTTCTCAAGTAAAAAATGCCATGCTCTTTAAAAATAAAAATGCCATTCTCTTAAAAATAAAAATGCCATCCTCTTAATGACAAAAATTGCCATCCACTTTAAAATAAAAAATGACATATTGTTAATAATAGAAATGTCATGCTATAAATGCCATGTGAGAAACTGAAAAATGCCATGCTCTTTAACATAACCAAAAATCTGTAGAAATGACATCATACATATCACTTATACTATAGGAAACAATTCTACAAATGCCATGGCATGTTAGCGGTACAAACAAAACAAGTGCCATTGGGATAGAAAATGCCATGGCATGTTAGCAGTATAAACAACAAAATGCCATGGTCTAATTTTAAAAAATGCCATCCTCTAACTAAACAACTATCGTTAACAAAACAAACATCGATGCCGATGCACTAATATGCTGATGAAAACGAATTTCCTAACATTTGAGAGATGAGAGTACCTTTGTACCTGTGTATCCCAATCTCAGGTCGGACAACAAGGATGCGGAAGCAGCGACTTGGAGTAGGGCAAGAGAATGAGGCCGTCAGGGATCCCATCCAAGTAACCGGTCTGGGAGAATGGCCCTCGAGGCTTCCGCCGCCTTCATGCGTCCGCCGGGCACCGAGGAAGCCGCGCGGCTACACACAGGCCAACGAGAGTCTATGGAGAGGGAGCTAGCTTCTGTCAACGGGGTCTTTGAAAACTGCCATGGTATAGAGCAAACAATTCTTAAAAATGCCATGCTCTAATAATAAAAATTCCATGCTCTTAATAATAATAATAATAATGCCATGTGGTTTTTACAAAATGCCATGGCAAATTTGTAAGGGACACAGGGGATAAACTTGAGCATTTGGTTCTTTGAAAACTGCCATGGTCTAGAGCAAACAGTTCTTAAAAATGCATGCTTATGGAAGGTGAAACTAGACATCTAGGTAAATAAGGCCATTTCTCTTGGATCACACGACACTTCTTGCAAATCTCAGTACTATGTCCATCTTCTGCTGCTGGTTATGTCGACACATAACACCGTTGAGCAATTTATGGAAAGGAGCCACAAAAGTTGTTACAAATAAATCTAACCAGATTGCATACTTGCGGGTTGCAGCTGGTGTCTGAAGCCAACTGCACAAAGTTCAGAGCTACTGGTCGTAGTACAATAAACCAGGCTGTCCGCCAAGTAACTAGCACAAGTACAGCAACAATGGCCTTAACTTGGACATGAATCTGGACGAAGTACAGCAACTAGTGGCAGGATAAATTTTCTTATGCCGCCTCCAGTGGCAAGTTAAACGCGGCTTTCGCCTCCGTCAGACTAATAAAAAGAAGAACATGCTTGGGGACAAGCTAATTTGCACTAAACTAAGGTGACCAATGAATTAACAAAGCATCCTGCTAGCTTGTTCCAGCCTCCAGGTGCAGGCATTCATCACTGCCATTCTATGCAAGAAGGATTTCTGATTTGTGGTTACTTGCAACAAAGAGTACAGTTGAGCTAGTTACAGAGCTGTGGTTATTGGTTGAACCACAGTCTCCCAGACGTCATTACAGCTAATTAACCATGTTCACATTTTCTTCAAAACAATTGATGTTCACATTTTCTTTCTGGCATAACACCATGTTCATCTTGTGCTACAGG